TATATATATATAATAAAGTAAAATTGAATATTAAGCCAGATATTTACTTAAAAGCTTCCATATTATTAATTTAATTTTATTTTAAAGGGGGAAGATGTTAGCCTGGATTTGTCGGCTAACTAGATTTGCTCAAGGTAATCTACAAGGCTTCGTTCAATTCTGGATAATTCAAAATTAATAAATAATAAAATAACGAATTTAAAATACAGCATTTTAATTCGATGATTTTTAAAAAAAATATTTTTGACATTTATTGAAAAATATTAATTGAATGTTACATAAGTTTTTTGGTTAGTTATACTTTTTTTTAACCATGAATTTATTCGCATTAGATTTACAATCTAGATAACAACAGTATTTTTACGAAGTATATTAAAATAATGGGCAGCATTTTGTATACAACAAAGCATTTTCATTAAATAAAATTAGAGCGTTTTTGCTTTTTTTTTCTTTAATTGGAAACTAGAGTTTCCTCCCGGGAACGTTATAAAAATTTCAGAGTCTCGAACTAACGGAGAAAACACAATTTAATAAATTATATCCATAACAACAGACACAGAAACTTCAAGTACTTATTCACCGTCTGCCCGATATTTAATTTTATTCCAATGAGCTGCACAATCGGACTTGCCGATCAGCGGAACTAGTGCGTTCTCCAGAGGTGATATCCACTCTTTCAGGACCACCACAATGGGTGAGATACCGTTGGTCATGTTAATTTGGACGTCTAGTTTCTGCCACACTAGATGGCAGCACCGAGACTCTATTTGGATGCTAAAGTGCACTAGGAATTTAATTTTGCCGGAAATGCCAAGAACCAATAAGGCACTCCAGGGATCTTTTACATGCTGCATAATCATACGACATGGCCGCTGAGGATTTTACTCACAATTAGTGGTACTGTATATGATAATTTAAAACAGAATTTTATAACTTTTTATTATTTTGCAAAAAAATTAAAGTAGCCATAATTTTTAAGAATTAAAGAAGATTATATGCAATTGTTTTGTAACAAGTATGTCAATCATTTATGAGTTTTATCATATACTATGAAAACAAATAACATTTATGTCTTAGAATTTACTTACCGCCAGTTTGATATTGTCCAGAAGTGTATTCTGAAAGCAATTTGAACATTTTATTACTGTATTTAACGAGACATTAAATATTAAAAGTATTCTTTTTGATTAAATCAATCAATCAATGAGTGGAATATTTAATATATTAGAGATATTATAAAATAAATATTTTACATTTTGTTTTGAATCGATTAAAAAATCAATTATTTTCCTTTCTTTTTCTTCTATGTAAGTATAGTCAATCAATCAAAAGTTCAATCGAAATGTTTAAGCAACATATTAAATCCAATTAGTTGTTTTCAAACACAAAAAAAAAATCTGATATCATCCCTAAAGTTTCGACAATTTTATGTTTTACTTCGATATCATTTAAATTGCGAAAGTATTGATGCAGTTAGCTTCGCAAACAAGCAATCATCGCCATCTTGGATATTCTATTTATTTTAATAACTTAAAATTTATTTTAAAATAATTTGCTCTTAATACATAAATTAAAAGGAAATAAAGAATAAGTTGTCAAACTAAGTACTTACCACCACTTGGATATTCTCCACTAACATATTCTGTAATAAAATACTAGCTATATTGTACCGTGATTTACAAAAATTATATCATTCAAATTTATACTTCGTGTCAATTTCACATTTAGAGCTCGAAAAACTAGAATACGCAATTTTGAGTCTAGAAACTTTATTATCAATTCTCCTATCTATTCTAATATAAGAAATTTGTAACTCAAAAAATAAAAAAATAGTTTTATTCATTTTAGGTTATATTTATGACTAGTAAAATATTCGTTCTTGGTGCGGAGTAATGAAAAAGGAAATTTTAAATATGTACTAACTCTATTTAATATTCGTAATTATACTCAAAAATGAAAGGGAATTTAAATCATGACAATTAAAGAAATATATATATTTTTAATTACCATTTTACGATGATTTCACTCTTGGATTTATATTATACAAAAAGGAGTTTTATTACATCAGAGACAAGATTAAATGTTTTTGATATCATTTGGCAGCAAGAATTATGTTATCGGACAACACTTCATTGTCCATATTTTTTATACAATCAAACAATTTTGCCTTATATATGGCACTTTAGTATATTACTTATATATATTTTACTCATATTACTTATATTAACTTCCATTAGTGGCGCATTAGTTAGGTTTAGATAAACATGTTTTAAAAGCGTAATTATAGACAAAATGGATACAAGGTTTTAGATGTTTAGTTTTATTTGAGCTTGATAATAAAATAAAAGTTAAAGCATTATTCAAAAAACTCCTACTGAAACTCATTTTTTTACGACAAAGTTATAATCCAGCAAACATAAGTTATATATTTTAAGTATTTGAATAATACGTATAAAAAGAATGGGCAGCAATTCGTAAACAACAAGGCATTTTAATTAAATAATTAAAACGTTTTAGTGTGTTTTTCTTCTTCTTAGAATCGGAAACTAAAGTTTCCTCTCGGGAACGTTGTAAAATTCTTAGAGTCACGAAATAACGGATAAAAACACAATTTTATAAATTATGTCCAGGAGAACAGACCAGAAGCTTGAAGAACTTATTTGCAGTTTTCCAGGTATTACACACTGTCGTTTAAAACAATTTCGAAGATTCTACGCATAATTAGTGATACTGTAATCGATAATTTAAAGTAGAATTTGATAAATTTTTTATTATTTTGTGAAAAAATCAAAATAACCATAATTATTTTGTATTAAAGAAGCTTATGAGCAATAGTTTATATCAAGTAACTCAATCGTTTTTGAGTTCCATCATATACTAGGAAAATAAATAAGATTTATATCTCAGAATGTACTCACCGCCAGTTTGATATTGTCCAGAAGTGTATTCTGAAAGCAATTTGAACATTTTATTACTGTATTTAGCGCGACATTAAATGTTAAAAGTATTCTTTTTGATTAAATAAATCATTCAATGAGTGGAATATTCACTATATTAGAGATATTTTAATATAAATAATTTAAATTTTGTTTTGAATGAATTAAAAAATGTATTATTTTCTATGATATTTCTTCGATGTAAATATAATCAAAATAAATTGTGGATGTTTAAGGAAAATCTGCAGCTTATTTAATTGCACTTTGGAGATGCCAGACTTTTTTTTCTAAAATTTTAATATTCTCTCTGCGGACTATACTCAATTATCAGGTTAATAGAGAAATAAAGAAGAATTTGATGCTCGTCATTTCTGCCTCTTTTGCACTATAAGAGTTAAATTTTCAAAGGAAGGATTAGTTTAATTCTCAGTATGTTACAGAAAATAAATTTATCCTTTTTTAAAAATAAAAGAAAAAGAAAAAGGTTAGTATGTTCAAACAAAGTGTTAATGATCTTCGTAGATTTCCCCAATAAACAATTCTGCACCTATATATTTAGGTCGTAAAAGTTTAATAGAAATGTTTAGACAAGGTATTAAATCCAATTAGTTGTTTTGAGACATAAAAATAACTGCGATACCATCTATGCAGTTACTTCATTTTTATGTTTTAGTTGGATATCTTTTAAATTGTTAAAGTATTGATGCAATCAGTTTTGCAAACAAACTATCATCGCCATCTTGGATATTCTATTAAGTTTAATAGCCTTTAAAATTTGTTTTAAAATAATTTGCTTCAGTTAATACACAAATTAAAAAGGAAATAAAGAATAAGTTGTCAAACTAAATACTTACCACCACTTGGATATTCTCCAGTAACATATTCTGTAATAAAATACAAGCTATGTTGAACCGTGAATTAAAAAAAAATATCATTCAAATTTATACTTCTTGTCAATTTACACTAGAATACGTAAATTTGAGTCACAAAACTATATTATTGATTCTCCTATCCAATAGCACTATATTTTTAATTACGATTTTACGATGATTTTACTCTCAGCTTTATATTACACGGAAAGAAGTTTCATTACATCAGAGACAAAATTAAATGTTTTTAGTATGATTTGGCAGCAGGAATTATGAATTATTTTTTCAAGAATTTGCACACGCTAAAAATATCAATCTAGATAACAACAATATTTTTACTTGAATATATGAAAAGAATAGGCTGTGATTTGTATACAACAAAGCATTTTAATTAAATAATTAAAACGTTTTAGCATTTTTTCTTCTTCGAAGAGGATTGTTCCCTTCAGGATTGTTGGAAAAATTTTCAAAGTCTCGAACTAACTGAGAAAAACACAATTTAATAAGTTATGATCATAGCAACAGACTCAGACGCTTCAAGAACTTATTTATAGTTTACCAGATATCATACACTGTCGATTAAAACTATTCCGAAGATTCTACACATAATTAGTGGTACAGTAATTGATAATTTAAAGTAGAATTTTATAAATTTTTATTGTTTTGTTTAAAAATCAAAATAACCATAATTATTAGGTATTAAAGAAGCTTATAGAATAGTTTTATATCAATATCTCAATCATTTTTTTAGTCTTATCATATACTATGAAAATAAATAAGATTTATATCTTAAAATTTACTCACCGCCAGTTTGATATTGTCCAGAAGCGTATTCTAAAAGTAATTTGAACATTTTATTGCTATATCTAAAGAGTCATTAAATATTAAATATATTGCTTTTGATTAAATAAATCATTCAATGACTGGAATACTCACTATATTAGAGATATAAATAAATACATAGTTTACATTTTGTTTTGAATCGATTAAAAAAATACATTATTTTCTATTCTTTTTCTTCGATGTAAGTATAGTCTAAATATTCAGTTGTGGATATCTAATGAATATCTACAATTTATTTCCTTACACTTTGGATTTGCCAGACTTTTTTTCTAGAATTTTAATGAGCTATCTGAGGACAACACTTAATTATCAGGTTAGTAGAGAAATAAAAGAGAATTCAATGTGCGTCATTCCTGCTTCTTTTGCACTATAAAAATAAAATTTTCAAAAAGATTACTTTAATTAAAAGTATTTTATAGAAAATTAAATTTAGCCTTTTTTAAAAATAATTTTAAAATAAAAAGTTTAGTATGATCAAACAAAATGTTAATGAAATGATGTGCGTTGATTGCACCAATAAAGCATACTGCACCTATATATTTGGATCGTAAAACTTTAATAGAATTGTTTAGACAAGATATTGAATCCATTTAGATGCTTTGAAACATAAAAAAATTGCGATATCACCCCTATAGTTACTACACTTTAATGTTTTACTACGAATTGTTAAAGTGTTGATGCAGTCTGCTTTGCAAACAAACAATTATCGCCATCTTGGATATACTATTAAGTTTAATAGCACATAATATTTATTGCTAAATCGTGTCAAAACATCATAAAATGTTATTATTTTTTTACTGTTTAAAAGTTGCGACACCAATGAACTATATAAATAATTTAATGAAATTTTTAAGTAAGCGCTCACTTAGGATGTGCAGTTTAAAAGTTACTATAGATTTGATATTAAAATGATAAATAAATAATAACATTTTATGATGTTTCAACTCGATTCAGCAATAAATATTTCATTGGAAAACACTCAAAGTCTCATACTTTTCCTTTTGAGACTTTGGATCCTGGCAGGATTCTGCCGGTTAGTAATATATACAGTCGGAAAATAAATTCTTAATATAAATATTGATTGATATTTTTCCTTTTACTTATTTCTGTTTTCCATTTCGAAACTCTTAAAATTAAAAATATTATATTAACAAATATTATACTAATAATAATAATATTAGCAAATGATATTAAACCTACGTCCGCTTGGGTACTCTCCGGAAGCATATTCTCCAGTTGTATATTCTCCAGTTGTATATTCTAAAAACAGTAGCATAATTAGTGTACAAGGAATTGTATAATTATTTTACGAAAATATAGTGTTAAAATGAAGATAATTAACATTTATTTCGCTTAATTTATCGGTCTTGTTTGTTCCCGTTGTACTGTATTATCTATAGCAATTTTTTCTCAACTCGTATTATCCATACATCCACTTGGTTTTATTCCGATAATTATAAACATTTTATAATAAAAATGATAATAAATCTTTTATGAAAACAATGTATTTTATTGGATATTTATTATTTGTTATTGAATCTTAGGTGTCAACTACTTACGTGTAAATAAAAAAAAATGCTATTATATTATTATATATTGCTGTAATGCAAAACATATGCATATATGATGCTCATAACTTCACAAAACAGTCAATATATTTCCTACATAGCTTTCGTTAAAGAACAAGTTTGAAATCAGTTATTGAACTGTTTATTAAAAATACCGATTAAAAATATTTAGCTAAAATAACGTATTAAATTCGTAGCAAAAAGGATAAATTAATGTTTTGCATTAAATTCAATAAGATAATAAAAAGATCTTCGGAATTAGATCGTCTAATTCCGAATGGTGATAAAAGGCATCAATTAATTAAAAATTTATATGGAACATGGATACCACATTCAGAGGAGGGAGAAACCACGAAAAATGCCATCATCTAGAAGAGATGAAACTACAGAGACGTATCTTATATTTATGTATCAAGTCTTCCTTCAATTGCGGAAAAAGCGTGTCGACCACAGTGAAGGGACACAAGTGGTTTGCGAGTATAATGCTCCTACGTACTGTACGTAATCATTCGAGGTAGCAAAGATAAGGATATGAATATAAGATGGAGAACTCATTGCATTACCCCCGCATTCTGAGAATTTCAATTCCTTTGACTTTCTTATAGGGAAACAACTGAAACCTGTAGTTTATGCTTTTGGACATATTGGAGGATCACATCGTGATCAGTGTTGTCGCCTCGGCAGATATTTTTAGTAAAATATTCCGCAAAATTAAGCGTAAACAACTACTATGTATCAGGAAAATGCTAAACATATTGTTCTAATGTTTCCCCTCGAAAATAGTATATTTTTATAAGACATTCCGGTCCATAGTACCGACTCCCTAAATGCAGATACACTTTACTATGATTTAATGCGGAATTATTTACATCGTAGATATTATTAGTAATACAGGGGTCAACTACTTATATATCACTTCAGATCAAAAAATCGTAAAAGCTGCTACCACTGTAATGAGTATATAACTTAAAATTACATTTTGAAGACGCTTAAAATCACGAAGGACAGATAAAAATGTACACGAAGTGCTATTGAATGAAGCAAAAATAACATTCGATAATTACTTCGAAGATTATTACGTGATAAAATGAATTATCTTTGGGAAAAAATATACAATCGGCTCTGCGGTAAAAAAAAGTCAAGACAAACTCGCGATTGACTTGATTTCAAAATTTATAAAGGATATATAAATAAAATAAAGAAAAAAAAGAAGAAAACTTTCATATGTTGCCAGATATAAATCATAACATTTATATCCAATTTTTTTAAAGATACCATTGTCTCATCAGAGATAAAAACCGTTCGCTAGTTTAAAAGTTATTTAATATAAAATTAATGTTATAGATTGCTAACAAGTAAAATTACTTCTCATTTTTTATTACTTATTGTGTAACCCATTAAGTTTTCGTAAATTTAAGAGTTTTTCTTGTCAAGTACAGTTGATTATCTTTAAAATCTTTGCTTATATATTTTATAATATTCCATAATAGTTTTATTATAATATTATTATATTATATTATATAATAATATTATATGTTATGGCCAAAATAATTTTAAGAAAAAAGTAAGGATGAATAAGGGGCCACTACGAGTGCTGGTGAGCTCAAAGAGCAAGGGGCGCAGCCTGCAAGTGCATAAAAACTTATATATGCATCTAGAACACATCTAGCATCTTTGGGCACAGCCGAAAATCAGTTTTACATTATTGTTGGCTGTGAAATGATGACAGCGGATACCCCTTTGAACAACTCTTGTAATAATAAATCAAATATATCATTTTTTTTATCGCTAACAAGTAGATATAATGTAGTATCCTTATTTTCTAGCATGTCGTCGACACCTGGGAAACATCTACATGGCATGGATTTTTCATTCATGAGGGAAAGTCAATATGGATTTTTATTAATTTTCACCCTTTCAACGTAGTTTTCGACTCTATAAAATTTAAAAAGTTTTTGGCTTCGTGATGCTTTTAATCAATACCCTGAATTTGTAGATCAAATTTTAGAGCCTCGTGTATTTATCGATTTTTATCAAAAAGTACATTAGACATACCTCCACTTTTTCTTTCGCCTGTAGTATATTCACCAGTGGTATATTCTCCAGTTGCGTATTCTGAAAAAATAAGAAAAAAAATTAAGTTAGCTGCATATGGAAATTATTTAGTTAGAAATGTAGGGGCATTTTGGCAAGCTAAGAAAAATTACTAGCTGCTAGCCCATAATAAAAATTTTTAAAACTTTGGTATAATATTTTTTCACTATCACCACACCAGACTGCTATTATTATAGCTATTAATATTTAATTCTTGTTTTAAAAAATAACCCAAAATATATTGCAACGAAGATAAATAAAGAATTTTAATTAAATGGTTTGCAATTTTCATTCAAATAAATTTAATAAAGAAGATTATATAAATTCCATTTGCTTATATTTTAAAATATGCAAATTTTATCGTTTTCATACCTCCACTAGCTTGTTCGCCTGTAGTATATTCACCAGTGGTATATTCTCCAGTTGTGTATTCTGAAAAAATAAGAAAAGAAAATTAAGTTAGCTACATACGGAAATTATTTAGTTAGAAATGTAGGGGCATTTTGGCAAGCTAAGAAAAATTACTAACTGCCAGCCGATAATAAAATTTTTTAAAACTTTGCTGTAATATTTTTTCACTATCACCACACCAGACTGTTATTATTATAGCTATTAATATTTAATTTTTGTTTTAAAAAGTAAACCAAAATATATCGCAACGAAGATAAATAAAGAATTTCAATTAGATAGTTTGAATTTTTTATTTAAATTAATTTAATAATAAAGAAGATTATATAAATTCCATCTGTTTATATTTTCAAATATGCAAATTTTTATCTTTTTCATACCTCCACTAGCTCTTTCGCCTGTAGTATATTCACCAGTGGTATATTCACCAGTTGTGTATTCTGCAAAATGAAAAGAAGAAAAGAAAAATGAAATAGGTTGCATACGGAAATTATTTAGTTAGAAATGCAGGGACATTTTGACAGGTTAAGAAAACTTACTAGCTGCTAGTCCATAATGCATTTTAAAAACCTTTTTAATAACATTTTGCACAATCACTGTCACTTGCCTGATTGTTATTATTATTGTTACTATTAATATTTAATTGATATTTTTAAAGAAATAGGGTCCAATACATTGCAATGAAGATAAATAAAGAATTCCAGTTAAATATTTTGCAATTTTTATTTAAATTAATGCAATAAAAAAGAAAAATACATAAATTCTATTTGCTTTTACTTTAAATATGCAAATTTCATCTTTTTCTTACCTCCACTAGCTCTTTCGCCTGTAGTATATTCACCAGTGGTATATTCTCCAGTTGTGTATTCTAAAAAGCGAAAGAAAGAAAAGAAAAATTAAACTAGCTGCATTACAGAAATTAATTAGTTAGAAATGAAGGGGCATTTTGACAGGTTAAAAAAACTTTCTAGTTGCTAGTCCATATTATATTGCTTTAAATTTTTCTACTATATTTATTGCCTATCACTGTAACACACCAGACTGTAATTATTATTGTTACCCTTAATATTTAATTTTTATTTTTTTAAAAAATAACCTAAAATACATTGCAAAAAAGATAAATAAGGGATTCCAATTCAATGTTTCGTAATATTAAGTTAATAAAAAAGAACGAAAAGCCACATTAGTTTATATTTTTAACTATGCAAAATTTTTTTCAATACCTCCACTAGCTCTTTCTCCTGTAGTATATTCACCAGTGGTATACTCTCCAGTTGTGTATTCTGAAAAAAATAAATAGAAACATAAATTTAATATATTTTATAACTTCTATTCTAAGATACCTTCAGAATTTTTTTATTTTAACAACTATAAATACTGAAATATGTTTTTTTTTATTTATTATTAAAGAAATTTAAAATATTTAAATCATACGTGTTTTAAATTTCCTTTAAAAAAATTTTGTATGTTTTGCGATGTATATCTTGTAACATTTACGAACAGAAAAAAGTATTCAAAATGTTAACATAATACGATTTTCAATTTGGGAATCAAACGAAAGTAGTGTAATAACATACAATTCCGGATAATTCAAGAATAATAATTAATAAAAGGTCAAATTTAAAAAATGGCATTTTAATTCAATGAGTTTTAAAGAAATTATTTCAAACATTTATTGAAAAATATTAAGTAAAAATAACAGGATTGTGTTGGTTAGTTACTCGAATTTGATTTGAAGTCGTTAAAAATATTAATTCAAATAACAAGAATATTTTTACGTAAATATATATATTTGACACATAATTAACTCAATGATTTCGAATAAAATGTAATTTCATTTGTTAATCACATTAACAGACAAATGGAATGGAGTCTTGTGCTTCAATACGAACACTGGTAAAATATATATCCCAATACCCTTTATTTATGCTTTATTTTCATATCTTCCAATCTGGCAACTTAGCTACGAAAATATTTTTAAATTGTTCCTAAAATTTGTTCCAAAGTAGCAAACGAACGTTCTCACTTCTCGCTTGATGCATTCCTATTTGTGTTCTATTTAAAAAAAATTTCTAATTTTTATTATTTTTGCTTGATTATATTTTATTTTCAAATCAGTTTCTTTCTTTTTTTTTTGGTCGTCTTCACACTATTGTATTGATACATTTTGCAGTGACTATATATTTCAATATTAGAAAGCTCTACTTTTGAAGATATAATTGACAAGGTAACCCTTCTCTGTTTTATTTTCTACTTTTGTGTAATTGAATAAAAAAAAAATACTTTTTCATCTTTTTAATTCTTGTAATTTTTTCTTCTTCACTTGTAAATCTTAAAAAAAATGTATTTTATTCCCTTTTATTTCTTCTCATCTTGTATATATATATATATATATATATATCAAGATGCCAATTTAGAANTGAATACTTACCTCCACTCTTTTGCTCTCCTGTTACATATTCGCCAGTAACATATTCACGACTGGTATATTCTTAAAGGAAATATTAATAAGAAGAATTGAAGATTTGTAATAATATTCTAAATATTTTCTCTTATAAATATATATATATATATATCGCTATACATATAATATTTTTTACTATTTAACATTTAAATAACCGGTACTCATTATCCACACCAATCTATGTTGCATAATATGCAATACTTTATCTTGCCCCCACAGTGATATTTTTTCATTTATGTACTAGATAAAGACTAAATTTTGTACGCAACCAAAATTTTTAAGTAAATAAGTTGCAAGTGAATAATCATTACGTATATTATCGGCTCTCTTTCCATAAAAAATGAAATGATGAAAATGATTTTTTAACGCAAAAGGAGAAGCTTGAAAAAATAAAAATGTCACATTTTTGAGAACTTAAATCTGCAGAATTGGAAAAAAAGCGAAACTCCTTTTAAACTTTTTCATCTAATGAGCGAGCTTACTAAAAAAATTCATTAATGAACTATTTTAAAGGTAAACACTCGATGTCGATTAAAATAGACGATGAAGAGATTAAAAGATTTTAAGATATCTACTCTCTATAGTTTTTTGCGCATTGATAAATTGAAGAATTATTTTAATGTTGAATAAGGGTGGTAACTAAGTAAGCTTGAATCGAAAGTTTTTACCAAAAAATTTCTTTCCATTTAGAAGTACTTAAAGTAAACTTAAGTTAAAAATGCTTCTAAACAGCTGAAACTGAAATGCTTAGTATGATTTATGAGTAGCATGATTCAAGTTTTATTTTTGAGTTTTGTGATTTCTGTTCTTAAACCTGATACGTAAGCAAAATTTATGATAAATTGATTGGTCTTAAGCGCTTGTATAATTTAAAATTTACTAGTGTCATATTATTAATTTATGTAGATAAATATTCCAGCAGAAAAGAAATATTTTCATAATTTCTCTATATATCCAGGTTTTGGTATACTTTAAAAATCTGATAAATTTATCTTCCAGTTTATTTCATTATTAATGCTTTTATTTTTGTTGCCTCAATGGCAATTTTATCATTCAATTAAAAATGTTGAAATGTTTTTCTTGAAGATTCTCGTGAAAGAAAAAAGAAACTTTAAGAACTCCTACTTATCCATATTCTGATGAAACATCATTTTCAAATATTTTAGATTCATTTAGGGATAAATTGTAGTTTAAAATATGTTAAACCAACCTCCACTTGTTTGCTCGCCTGTAACATATTCTCCAGTTGTATATTCTCCAGTCGTGTATTCACCAGTCGTATATTCACCAGTAACATACGATCCAGTTATATACGATCCTGTGGTGTATTCGCCTGTAGTATACTCTCCACTTGCAGACCCACTAGCTTTTCCTAAAAATTGAGAGAAAAAAATTAATTCTTCCTATGTAAGAAAAATATTCGATCATTTTTATACAATATATATTTGGCACAGAAGTGAATCTTTTTATTTTTTACCGGGAATGAACCAAACTTTTATTTCCGAACAATATTAATTTTGAGAAGTTTTTTTTTATATTTCCAATGAGCTGCACAAGTGCGCACTCATGAGCAGACTTAGTGCGTTCTCCAGAAGTGGTATCCACTCTTTCAGGACCACCACAATGGGTGAGATACCGTTGGCCATGTTAATTTGGACGTCTAGTTTCTGCCGCACTAGATGGCAGCACTGAAAAGTATACTAGGAACATAAGTACACTAGGAACATAATTTTGCCGGAAATGCCTAGAGCCAATAAGGCACTACAGGGATCTTTTACATGCCGCATAATCATACGACATTTCCGCAGAGGATTTTTTGCATCCCGAGAATCCAGTGTCTGGGCCGGGGATCGAACCCGCAGACTTTGTCTCAGAAGGCCGACGTCAAACCAACTGCGCCACCCAGCCACTAGCAATTTTGAGAAGTAAATATATCTTAATATTTTAGCAAAGATAGACATTAACTAGGAAAGTAATTTAATTTTTAAATGTTAAATAAATGTAAAGAATAATAATGTAAAGGTTAATTAAATAAGTTCCCAAAAGATTAACACCTTATGATGATATGTTTACATAATAAAAGTTTTCAGCTCTATTATGTGTACAGTGCGAAAAGTAAAAAAAATGAACTACCCAGAATAATTTTTGATTCAATAATCGGATCTTCTCATTTTATACTCAATCTTAAAAGTTCGAGAGAGTGGACCTAAATATGCTAATTAATAAGTGCACACGATATATTAATTTATGAAATCTGAGGCAAAAACGTACTTTTTCTGGAAAAAAAATTTTCTTTTTCGATTTTTCACAACCAGAATATAAGGAGTAGCCACAATCTAGAAAATATAGATCCGATAGTTTGGTCAGGACGGCGGTCCAAAGTTGGAACGCCTTTATGTTAATTTTACTTTTTGCGCGTTTTGCCTTACCTCTAGAACTTTACAAGAAAATTCAAAAAAATTTGCACACAGTTGTAAAACTCGTTAATTTAAAGATAATTCCGTGTAAAATATAACTTTTGATAAATATTTATTTTTTTCTGTTATTAATTATATTCAATATATTCGAGTTTGAATTGAAAGGTATAAAAATTTGTACATGATTTCAAAGAATGTAATGTTGAATGGCAAAAGACAAATTTTAAGCGAAATCGGAGAAATCAAATTTTGAAAAAAGTATTTTTAAAAGTCGTATTTTTAAAATTGGATTTCTGATGAGTTATTCAATCAATTTCTCACAAATTTTGTATTTTGCCATTTAAAATTACATTCTTTAAAATCATATAACTCAAAATTTGCAACTCAAAATTTTTTTGAATATTATTAAATAATGCAAGAATAAAAAATAATAAATATTTACTGAAAGTTACATTTTGCAGGGAAATATCTTAGGATAAAACAATTTTTATAACTGTTTGCAAAATTTCTTCAGTTTGCTTAAAAAATTCTAGAGATATGGCGAAATACAAAAAGAGCAAAATTGACATTAAGGGGTCCAAACTTTGGACTGCTCTCCTAACCAAACTATTATGATCATATTTCCCAGAGCGTGGCTACCCCCTATATTTTGGGGGTTAGAAATTCAAATCCTTAGAAATTAAGGTATGTTTATTCAGTTTTCGTGTCTGATTTTGGTACTTAAAATATCGTCTTCTCTATTTAATTAACACGTTTGAGGTCACAGCATCGAACCCCTAAGGTTGTATCTAAGGAGCTAAGATACGATAATAAGATCAAAAGATCTTCAGGTTGATCAGTTTATTTTCTTGCGCGCTGTACAATAATAACGAATAGTTTAGCTCATAGGAGTATTTTTCAAAAAAATGTTTTCACTAAATTCAATCTGGTGTGATTTTTATGTTAAAATTATAAGCCACAATTGCTGCATTAACCATAAAACACCATGGTCAAAAGAGTTTTTTGCGTTGTGCAATGACTAATGACGGTATTTTGTGCAAAACTAATGATTATGTGGCTATTTAGGATTTATATTTAGGATAGCTATATAGCTATATATTTAGGATAGCTATATTTATATTTAGGATAGCTATATAGCATAATATTTAGGATAGCTATTTGTGTATCTCATATCACCAAGGAATGGTGTTTTTGACTTTTTACTCTCTGACAGATCGTTTTGGAGGTAGGATTACGAGTCCATGTCGGGCAAGAAACTTTAAGGCGCAAACTTCTTTTGTGTTAGAGGGTAACCTAAATATTTGCAGGTGCAGAGAAAATGAACATTTCTCTAAACAGGAGATCATAATTTTTTTTTTACCGATATGTTGGATATGTTAGTTGGCATAAAAAATATCTTCAATGATCATAGTTTCTTTAACACATTCATCACTTTTCTCACTTAATCTTTTTTACTCACGATTTGCCATCATTTTGCAAATTAAGTAATGATATGTCATGCATTTTTTTTAATATTTAATAATAAGAAAATTATTGGAATTGTTAAATAACATGTAACTAATTATTGCATATTAATTTAATTACTATATTTGAAAATTTTGAAAAATGTTGGTGGTAAATTTTTATGATAATAAAAAGAGCTGTAAATATAAGTAAGCGTGACTAATTTAAGAACTTTTATCTTACCTCCACAGCCGAAAACAGTGCCAACAATTCCATTGCAACCTACAAAAATTTAAAAACTTTATTATATTGTATAAGACAACACCAAGATAACGTATTAAATACCATAAGCAATGAAAAAATCTGGAATTAAGTTCCTTTAAAACGGTGGAATTTATCGTATTGAAATTTTTCAAAAAAATTAGTTTAAAAACAGTCTAAAATCGAACAGAAGGAAGAGAATGTTTTCCTTACATCTACTGTGTCCAGCGTTTTGCCTCTGACCTCTTATGTAAATTCTGAAACCAGCTATCCTAGTTCACCAAACCAAATCAACTAGTCCAACCAAATGGTCAACCAAACAGACTTCAAGTGAAATTCGGTGGTATACGAAGCGTCGATAGTTTTCTTATTAGCTTTCATAATTTTTTATGATTTATACGCAATACATGAAATAAATATTTAATATTTTCTTTGTGGCGGAAGAGGTAAGAATTTAGAGTCGGTGAAATATCTTTATATACTAACTTTGGCTTTACGATAACTAGAAAATATTTAAAATTTCATTATTGTTTTTTTAAAGTTAACAATTAAGTCAAAATTTTAAGTTTTTTCGTGTTATTCATAGAATTCATGTTTCAATCAACTTTACAGCCCGCGTATTTTACATAATAATATGCAGTTATCAAAATTTTACTCTTAGATTTTCATTTATTGATGAAGTCATAAAAATATTTTTATTCTTTTTTACGAACATTAGTTGAGACAGAAATAAAATGATTGGAAGCAGTTTTATATTTTCAAGCAGCAGATACGTATACAATAAACTAAAATACCGTAATAATTTTCATTACTTTGATAAGTAATTTTATTTTAAAAAAATGTTTTAAGTAATTTTTATCTTTTGCTTTATATATATATATATATATATATATCGCATAATGTTCTGGTCTTATTCATCTGCATTAACATTCTGAAATTATTTAGGATAACTTATGTAAGATGTCTAGGGGAACACCCTGATTTTGAAATTAAAAATCTTGAAATTAGAGATGACTTAGAGATGAAATAAACAACATCTTTATTGCTAAAGCAACAAATTTTTTAATCAGAATTAATGAATTCTGTAACAATAATCACCAACAGATGGTGCCACTATCCGAAACTTACATTATGTGGCTCCTTAAAACTAGAACACCATTCCGCAAAGTAATGAATTTCAGCGTAGAAACGTGCAATAAAAGTATTATACCAGATTAGAAGATTTAAATGAGACAAAAAAAAAATGACGAAAAATTTTCCTACATCTCAGGAACAGTAGAATTTCAGAGATAGCTATCATTTTTGAAATATCGAATTAATATCAAATTGTCACTTGATTGAATTTCTTTTGCTACTTAGATTGAATTTTCTTAAATCTTGTCGAATTATTTTTCATTTCAATATTTCTTTGCTTTCTTATTTATTTTTTTGATTTTGATTCATTTTTTATATTAAATGTTTAGTTTTGAAGAAACTTAATCTGATGTCATACAAAACACACTCGTTTTTCTTAATTGTCAAAGGCATGAACATATAAATGTAATTTACTTCGAAACATAAAATATTTAATATATTAGGTGCACCAAATATCCGATTTTTTTGCACTTAATAAATGCATTCAAGGAAACTAGTTGAAAAATAATTCTATGATAAATAAAGTATTTTGTGAAATTATTTACATTATTTATTATCTGCATTATTTATTTCATTTTAAATTTTTAATGAGAAATTAAAAAAAAAAACAATTTAAAATGAAAAAAAATAGTAAATCTGAAATATGAATCTGACATAGTGATATCTTTAAATGACTGTAAATTATTTTTTTATTGTTTTATTTCTCACTCAAGTTTACTCATAATTATTTATCTATAAAAATAAAATGAGTATTTTGAATATTAAACTTACTTCCTCCTCCAAACAATGTACCGGTGCCTTAAAGTAAAAAAAAAGAAAAGGAATTAAGCATTTTGAATAACATAGTAACAGCAAACATTAAATTTAAAATATGACTTGTTGAAAACAAAAAAATATTTCATTTGAAAATGAACAGTCAAATTTGAAGAATTATAGATCCTTCTAATTCATCACAAGTTCACTAAATCATTGATTTTGTTTGTCATTTGATTAATATTTGCTAGAAAAATCACTAAGTGAATTTTAGGAATAGTTTGACAAATATAGTGATAAGCAATTTCATCTTTTAACCGCTGTTAAAATGTATGGACATAATGTACCTAAAATAAAATTTATTCACATTTTACTTATTTTTTGGTTTTATCTTAAATAAAAAGACAACTTTATATTTTTAAAATATACGAAATTATAAGTAATTATCATTATTAATTTCAAAAAATTAAAAAAGTCTTATAATATTCAAACTTTTTTTCTAAAATTTTTGCAATTAAGAACAGGTTAAAAACTTTTGTGGTAAGAAAGTTTTATAAATTTCCTTATTTTTTTATTTTAAGAAAAAAATTATGTTTATTTATGCATCTAGCATATTAATATACCAAGAACGGTTAAAATTACATAAGGGCGCAAATCTGGTTGTCTTATTTTCTCTATTGAAAAGAGTCTTACTATGTTTAACCCAACATTTGCCTTTCTTATTATGAACAAAATCTCACCTAACGCATTCTATCATAGCGCAAGATCATTTTAATTACTTTTCGTTCCTGTTTTTCTTTTTAAGAAAAGGACTTATGTTAAATATAAGAACTCTGAATTTTGCTTTCTGAGATACGCCTTATAATTTTTTAAATTATAAATTGATTTTGTTTTTAAACATAATTCGTTTTTTCTAAAGGATCGTGATAAAAAAAAACATTATATAAATAGTCAGTTACTTAAATTTTATAATTGCGCTTTAAGAAATCCTAAATTTATATAAATTTTGTTATCAAAAACATCTTATAATAAATTATGAAATGAAAAAAAGAACAAAAATTAACATTGCAAGTTTAAATTCTTTATGTAGGAGTTTATTTTTAAAGTCCTTTCTTACCTGTATCCGTAAGAACAGCAAATCCCAATATAAATAGTAACCACATCTTGGATGTTGAAGCCTCAAGCTTCAATCTGAGAATCGTACTGTGAAATGTATGGAAAGAGAGTAACTTAAATACATTTCCTGTACAGTGATTGAATGAAGTAGCACAGCTGTGCCTGTTAAATGTTTTTATTGAGCGTATTAAAGACTTATTTAACTTTTATTACCAAAATTTAATCTTATCTTATAGGACTGCATCAGAAAAGCAAATAATTATCTTTTTAATTTCCCATAAAATTCAGTTCATAAAATGCCCAAGTAAGTTCAACTTAACATAGAAAAATATTTAGCGAAATCCTTGAAATCGTTTTTACAGGAAATGAAATTCTTCAGTAAGAAAATGAGATGTAAAGGTGTTTGAAGTTATCATTCATTTTATTCAAAAAGCTTTAAAATATTACCTGATGCAATGCGAAAAAGCATATTATTCGTGAAATAATCAAACAATTTCTTATCAGCAAACATTAAGTTTTATTATANAGAGATATATATAGAGAGAGAGAGAGAGAGAGAGAGAGAGAGAGAGGGAGAGAGAGAGATAGATATATATTAAGTGATTTTCAGACCATTAGTACCCTTAACATTAACAGTCCGTGTTCGAGATCCAAGAAACTCCCCTTTTCGTAACTTTTCCTTCACCATCCGTAGAAATTTGACATTTAACATTTTTCTTGTGCCAAATGGGCTCTATTTTTTTCTATTACTCCCGAATAAATTATTTGTATTGGTCTGAGAATGTAATTTTTTTACAAGTCAATAAATTTCAATTCAAATAGTCCATGGTATACTATAATCTAGCCAAGTGATATTTTTTGCTAATCAATGGCTACTCTATAAACATCTGTCTATTTAATAAAACATAATGTATACATCTTGTTACATTACTGCGACTAATCCTTACAACACATTCTTTGTGTAACTCCAGAGCAATTTGAGCTACAGTTTTCTTAATCTCCTATTACATTAACTTGCCTCCATTACACGGTTCTTTTTTAGATTATTTTTATAGTAAATCACCTTTAGTCTATTATTTTAAGTTATATTTGCTTAAAATATTAGTGACCAGTTCATTTACAGTTACACTGCAAACGAAAATAAAGATGAAATTTCATTAGATGATCCGGTTTTTTTTCGATAATTTTATAACCAATTATCGTTACTCCAAACAAACGTGCCTACTTTTAATGATGGTTTATTTAATGCTATCTGAATATTTATGACAGAATTATTTTGGGATCATACGTACATGGTGGCAGAGTGAAGAATTTTGTTTGAAGTCAAACATAAAAGACAAAGTAGATTGGATAATTTTGAACTCAAAAATATTATAGTTTGCTTTAATTTTCATGTTTAAAAAATTATGTATGCATATTATAACATAAATAAAGTAAAATTATTTAGCTACGATTTGAATATTAAAGAAAGGAAAATTATTTTAACTCATTTAAGTAGCCAAAAGTTGAAAACAGTTATGAAAATATACTGCTAGGAAACTTTACTCATCACTGTGTATATATATAGGACTAGAAATTACGGAAAAAGAATATATAGCACGCTAATTTTTAAACATTTCATTAATTAACATATTGTGCATAAGTTCATGTAAATTTTAAAATATAAGCATTTAACAAAATTACTTCATAATTTTTAAAATAAAACATTTTATGATATGAATTCAAAATTTAGGAAATATTTATTAATCTATGAAATCTTGTGGTAAAATCAAGAACATTCAAAGATTAAAACGCCAGTATCAATCTTTAAATGAAAACGTAGCAAGTGCTTCATTTTTCTATCGACGATGTATGACTTTATAATCTGATATTTAATAAAAATTCTATCTACGGATGTAGGGAATGTATCAAGAATTCCTTCTTTAAGAAATTGAATGAGAAATTGAATGAGTAAAATGAATTTTATAAACTATTTTTAAATATATAAGCAAATAACTTAGTAAACAAAGACGATTACGATTATATATATATATATATATATACACAGGTCCCCTTTCCTCCATTCCCTTGACACTT